TACTTACACTCAACGACCACGGCGGGAAAAACACGAAAACTTACGCCAGTCTTTCATAACACAACTCTACGCCTTGTGCTCGCGTCTCCACTCTTTTCTTTACATTGCGCATGCCCCGGGCCAGTCGCCCCCACGGCACGACCTGTACTGACTCGTCGCGGGGTCGGTCAAACCTGACTGACCTCGAGCGGCGCGGAGTCTATGAACGGCTACTAGCCTTGTCGATAGAAGGCAAACTCCATCACACGGCCTTCCGAGAGGTCGCGCAGATGTTCCACTGCCACCAGCGCACCGTAAAGCGTGTTTGGAACCGCGGACAAGCCTCCATTGCCGCGGGTAGTCCTGCTGCTGTTGTGGTCTCCGAAATTCGGGGTATGACCTCTACTTTTCGATATATGATCAATATATGCGAGTACCAAATTTCATGAGGGACTGTTTTAAGGCAATTCTGGTCGTAAAATGATGCGGACGTCAAGCGACATCGAGGCCGCGATCAAGGCTGTACCTCATCATCTTCGACAGACGATGCGGTCGCTTGCGGCCCAGGCGGACATCCCAAAGACAACGATCCTCCGCCATATGAAGGCTACGTCAAGACTCAAAGCACGCTCGAGCTACATTCGACCCATGCTGACTGACGCGAACAAACGAGCGCGGATCAAGTTTGCTGCGTCATTCCTACGACCTACGTCAGGTGGTACCACTTTTGTCAACATGCACGATTATGTACATGTTGATGAAAAGTGGTTCTACCTGACGAAGGTTAAACGAAGATACTACGTATACGACGACGAAGAGGTGGCGGCGCGCGCCTGCAAGCACAAGAGCCACATCACCAAGATCATGTTCCTCGCCGCGGTTGCGCGTCCCCGTTACGACCCGCACACACGATCGTTTTTTGATGGCAAGATCGGCGTGTGGCCTTTCGTGCAAGAAAGCGTCGCCAAGCGTTCGAGCAAGAACAGGCCGCGCGGCACCGTTATCATCGAGCCGCAGTCCGTCAACGGTGACGTATACTGCGATAAGATGCTGAACGAGGTGGTCCCCGCCATCCATGCCAAGTTTCCTGTAGCCACGCTGGCCAAAGGCGTGAAGATCCAGCAGGACAATGCAAGTCCTCACCGGTGCGTCACGACGGAACTCCTCCACGCCAACGAAGTGATTGGAATTACCATTGAGAACCAGCCTCCAAACAGTCCCGACTTCAACGTCTTAGATTTAGGCTTTTTTAACTCTATTCAAAGTCTGCAGCACCAGAAGTCTACTCGTTCTATCGAGGAGCTAATCGGTGCTGTGGAAAGCGCGTTCTATTCGTTGCCATCGGACACTCTCGCCAAGACGTTTATAACTCTACAAAAGGTCATGGAAAAGTCGTTGGAGATGCTGGGCAGTAACAACTATAAGCTCCCTCATTTGCGCAAAGATGCCTCCATCGATGACCTACTGAGCTACAACGTCGAATGTAATGCTACCTGCGTCACCAGTGCTTTGGTTCACTTGGATCTTCGCCTTGGCGAGGAAGCCCGCATGGAGGAGGAGTGTAATTCAACGGAACAAGTACCTCTGTAAAGACAATTAAAATACAAAATATTTTGGCCGTCCAATATCAACTTCTAGAGTCGAATACAAAAATCAAGACAACAGTTGTCATGACACCATAGCGAAAACAAGTTTATTTTTGGTAGACAATCAATACGGACCAGAGTAGTAAGTTTATCGATGGAATCTCTCGGTTCCTTTTCCTCCACATACACACCACCAACATATTTCAAGTGTCATTATTTAATAACGTTATCCAATCCATTATTGCACGATCGTAGTTTCGACCAAAAGACTGCTCAGATCGTCCATCTTGCCGGCTATTGTCCGTCGTACATTGCGCTGGTCACCAGGGCCAGCAACCCTGTGTAATGCTCGGTCACTTCCGACTTAGACCACGCTACGAGCACCGTCGTGATTTGGCGGACGATGAGTTATCTACCACATGGGTGATCCATGCACACCAACACAACCGATGTACCCGCACGCGTTGATGGGTGCCTAAACAAGAAACATTGGATCGCCAGCAAGTCATCATCGAACACCGTTGCGACAACGACCACGACATACCGCTGTTTTGTATCCCGCTACTTCATGGCTTTCCGCCACGGCAAATATAGCACTGACATTAATGATGTTAACACTCCACGGAGCGCCTACTGCGACCCATTCACTAAATAACTGAGTACCTCCACTAAGGTAACGGATCATTTGACACAGCACACACACATAGTGTGTGTTTACAATAGGTTAAACGATGCACGACACAATTGCTCTGCACGCAGCAGAACAGTTTCTATCCTACGGAAAGTACAGTGTCTGGACGGGGGCAGCCATAGAAGGGTCCTCGTTGGCGGCCTCCTCCGATTTGCGAAACACGACTGGAATATCATCTAGCAAATTCGTTGCAGGTTCCGAGGACGATTCTTCATCGTCGAGTCCAAGCCACTTCACCAAAACTTGAGGATGGCCATTCACGCATCGCGCTTCGTCCAGGAGCTCTACATGAAATCAGCCATCACCAAACGCGATCTGCGCATTGAGATCTTCGGTCACTTCTCTACCACGTGCGGGGTACATCTTCAAATTACACGCATGATGTACCGTAACTTCGTACGGTGGCACCAGTTGCTGAGTCTCCATCACATGGTCTGTGATGATCCTGATCACTTGGCAGGTCCGCGGCAAAGCAGGGCCAAAATTTGTCGGACGGGGATTACCGATCCGGCAAGCACAAAATCGCCGACCGAAAAATGTGCAAACTTGACTTAGGATTTTCGGTCGCGGCGTCCACGCGTTGTCATTTCGTGTCTCGACGTTGGAGGTGCATTTCTTCAAGCGCCACTTCGAGGACCGTCATATGTTTAGACGGGCATCGCCAAGTCTCTCCGTGACGTTAACTTCCTTGGACGTCGGGTGGACAATTCCTGTGAGCCGGGGCTTGGCTGGCAGCCCGGTAAACGCTGTCACAGGTGCAATTCCTTCCAGCTGGTTCACCGGCTGATGTTTGGGGGCACCTTGGACGAGGGGCAACACATGCGGCCATTCGTCCGCGTTGAGCTTCATTGCGCTGAGCAGCTCCTTCACAGCGCGCTGCACTAGGCGGTTAACTACTTCTCCAGTCCCATTCGCCCAAGGATCGTAGGCTGTCGTGATGTGATGGTGGGCACCCACCAACTTCCACACCTTTTCGATTACTTCGTTCTTGAAGTGAGAGACGCCATCGGACACCCATGTGTCAACGCAACCGAACGTGGTAAACCACGTCATCGGGCGCTGAGCGGTTACGGCGGCGTCAGTGGACTCAGCCACGAAATGCTGCACAAAGCCACTCATGTCGTCTTTCACGACAAGCACTTATTTTTAGCCGGACTAGGCCTTGGATATCGACAATCAGTTGAAATGAATGAGCTTGTTCGGCTTGTTGGGCTTGTTCGCGTGAAACGCCGAACCAATGGACGGGGAACATTTCTCCGTCAATGCACAGGCAGTGCAAACAGGCCCGCGCCAACGCTTCGACGTCCGTGGAAAGCGTCTTCCACACAAACTTGTCGGACACCGACTTGGTCGTCGCTTCGACGCGACGGTGACCGCTGGCTCCTTGGTGAGCGATCAGACGAATTCGCTGCCGTAGGTCAACAGCACCGTCTAGGATCCAGATTTGTCCGTCTGGGTCCACGTAAAAATGGGAGTCGTTGTCCCAATCCACACCGTTTGGGGGGTCGCTCCCCCTTCCATGGTTGAACGTTAGATGCCGCTGATCATGGCGGCTGTCATACACTACCCACTTGTTGCAGAGGAGACACCACATGGATCAACTTGCGTACATTCGCAACTGGTTGATCCGTCGGAGCCGAACCCCATCGGCTTGGGAGGTCGCCCTATACATTCGCGGGGTTTCGGGGATTCGTTACCCGATACGTACTCAAAGGTGTACGGGAAGGTCAACATCACTAACGACCATCACTGCAGCTTGTCGACCTGATACTTGGCCATTCTGGGATTCGAGCCACTGGGTTGAAAATGTACACCAGGTTGCGGCGATACGTAAACAGACGGAAACAACCTGACAACCAGGTAGTCCAGTCTCTTGCACGACTCGACAACTGCATACACCTCCTTCTCGGCGACGGACCAGCGCGCACTCAAGTCAGAAAACGACCCACAAATAAGCAAAACCGGCCGGTGTCGCTGGCCTTCGAGAGATAAGTCCAGGTCCGCTGACGACACTTGTGTGGCGACCGCACCCCATAACAGGTCACTGACGTCTGTGAAAGCACAGACCGTCATGCCTTCTCGCGGGTGCGACAGGGGCACTACATTCGCCATTGCTTGTTTCACAACGTTGAAACACTTGAGATGGTCGAACGACCATCCCACGGCAGGGAGTATAACACACACTAACGCCGTTTTTCTGTAGCTTCCGGCTGCCTTAGTGGCCACGTCGAGCAGACGTCGCAACGGATCCACCAGCTGAGTGTAACGGGGGATGATTGCACACATCGAGTTAATTGCACACACAAATTGCTGGAGATCGGCTGCTGTCTTCGACGGCGACAAATCAAATACCCCTTGAATTCGGCTTGGGGAATGGGTGATTCCATTGGCCGAAATCACTTTGCCACACAACTCTGCCTCACGCACAAAGAAATGGCATTTTTCGGCTTCACCTTGAGTCCAACTGGGCATAAATGGTCAGGACTTGGTCCAACAAGGCGAACAGCTCGTCCGTCGTCTTGGTTGACCCCATCAAGTCATCGCGCCAGGCCAACGGTCCGCGGAGAAGCAGTTCAACATACATTTGGTGGACAGCCGACTGCGTCCGTCTGTCCATTGAGAACGTGGGTCGGGGAGAAGTACCCCTTGGTGTAGTCCATCGTGAAGTACACGTTCGTCACGACCACACAGACCATCGCGCTGTCCAGATATGGCATCGGCTCCGTGCAGGCATTGATCGGCCTGTTGTCGATCGTCATTCGCAAGTCACCGATTTACTTCTTCGGCACAATTCTTGGGACTGCGGCCCACGTAGCCTGGTTGTTTTGATAAAAATACATTCGTTCCCAGGGCAGGCACAGGCCTACGCATGTACTCAACATGCAGCGGCGGGTACTGCCGCATCCCACACTTCATCGGTGTCGAGCCGGCTTTGATCTGAATTTCAAAGTGGCCCGACCTTAACTGAGATCATCGTGCAAGTATTGACGAAACACTTTGTTAATGTGCCAGTAAGTTGTGCAGCCGCATCGCTTCAGCGGGGGCAAGCCTGCAAGTCTTCATCTCGGCTGCCTGGGTTATCCGGATGGCGGCCTTCGTGCGGTGCCGTTCCGCTTCTACCTCGACTGAGGTTTTGGGATAAACTGGCTGGGGTGTGTTGGGGTGGTTGGCAGTGACCATGGAGGTGCTGGTTAGAAACAATTGTTTACCTCGGTACGAATTTCTAGACCCGTGGAATGTATTTTGCTCAAATCTGAAGCGTCATCCGGATAATAATTCACGATGCATTCTGGTTGGTCGAGTCTTTGTGGTGCAAAAGTGAGGGCTTGGGGGTATCCGGATACTTTAGTCACATCGGAAGAGGAAGCAGCGAGGATGAGCTGGCGCGCACAGATTTCCCGCAACATCCAAGAGATCCGCATCGTGGCATGCAGTACATCGGAAAGCAGCAACGGACTGCGGTACGTAGATGACACCACATCGACGAACGACGTGTTTATATGGTGTACATAGCAAGTTCTTCCGCCGTAACTACGAAGAGCTGAAAATGCTCAACCCTAAAACGCCGTTTGTGTACCGCGAAGCCGAAGACGTGGAACCGTTCGTGTATGCTCGATTCGGTACGTCTTTCGTATCCGCGCGACGACGGCTGAGCTCTTGGGGCGATAGATTGGGGCGTGGAACAGCAAGTATACGTCAAGAACAAGAGCGCGGACGACGTTTTGCGCGTGTTGAAGGAGTTGAACCAATTTGGCGAAACTTCGGCGCGGTCCCCCGAAAGCGATATCTTATTGGCGCAACCCATCGTGGACGGTCGCATCGGCGAAGACGAGTACGAGCCCATCAACATCACGTGGGACGGCGTGACCATTCGTCGCAACCCCAACTTTACCGCCCCGTTGGACGATTAAGACTACAAGTCAAACTCTAACGAGCTTGAGTGTCCCTTTCCCTGGAAACAACTCATCCTTATCCCATACGTGTATACCCCACTGAATAAAATGCGGAAACAGAGAAGTGTCCATAAAGGTGATGCATGTTGCGGGGTTCTCTACGCGACTAATGACCGCCGGCCGGGTCACGCTGAGGCGTCGACTGGTCGCGGGTCTGGGTCGTCCTGCTGCAGGTTGTACGTTTGGATCAGCCCTTGGGCAATGCGGCTCGGGAGGAACTGAATGAACGGCTCTTCGAGCAACATGACGTCCATTTCGAGGGGGATGCTTTCCTGCGTCAACGTGTATGAGTGGTCATGTCAATCTTGTGAAGAAGGTGGTATGTACCAGGAAGGAGGCTGTGGCCGTCAACCAAATGCCCAACGCCACCGCCGCATGCGAACACGACGCCACGACACTGGGCCATGACGTACCCATGACTTGGCGAAAGCGCAAGATGTAAAACATGTACTTGAAGCTGCCCACGCCAATGTAGCCAAACCCAAGCAGTAGCAAGCCTACATGCCGCCGCGTTGAGTTTTGACGAATAATGTGGGAATGGAGGAGGACCTGCACCGCTGAGTTGCGCGCCGCGATGGTGTTCTTGGGCATACATGGCCACTCCGACGCCAGACGACATGACGCCGTTACGAGCCCAATTCAAGTACGAGTTTTCGTTGCTGAAGCGGAGCATCTATGGAGTCACGGGGTAAGAAGAGGTGGTGGGTGCGATGATGTAGGGATGACCAAGGCATTCTTGGACGCTTCATCCGCCGCAAGCTTCTTCGCTTCCTTCGTCAGGACGATGGGCTTGAGGGGAATGTCCGCCCTGGTCACTGGCTTTGCCGGACGAGCAGCAGGCTTCAGACACCGACGAATCTGTAGCACGCGATTGCGCATGCCACCCACACTCTGCTGACACTTGGTGATCGACACCCTTGTAAGTACGAGTTGTCCGGTTAAGTATGATTGTCATTTTGCGAATTGGAATCGAACAGTCTACGCTTTGTGTGAACTTGGGCGATTTAGCCGTGTGATATATACTGTATGCGCCTTGCATGCGCAGATCCATGTCGTACCTGGCGTTTGATTCAGCATGTTGAAATGCAAGTCCGCAGAGCGCAACCACCACCTGCCATGATTTGACAATGGTCTCGAGACATCATAGAGGCCATTGCCGTGACTATCTGAATAGCCACTTGAAAGTCGAGGATGAATGAATGCAGTACAAAGGGGATGGCGTCATCGGCAGCACGTCGTCCCCACGACGACGAAAAAGGGGTTGTTCTCCTGCATCGATATGGAGCGGGATAGCTCGATGGTTTGGAGCGGTATACGTATTGAAACCCGCAGAAGAAGTACAATGTTCGGACTTGTTGGCTTTCTTCATCTTAATTCTACGGCCTCGAATCGAGGGCGGTCAGCACTTAGCCCTTCTTGAGCTTGGCTTCGTTGAACAACACATGCTCTCGGACAATAGGGTCGTACTACACACGGCCGCCATCATCATCACCTTACGAACAACATCTCGCACAGCTTTGTCTAGACCACATACCTTGCGGAGGGCGAGCTTCTTTTGCACGTTGCGAGGGTTCTTGCGGGTTGTGTAGAAGAATCTGTGTGCCAGGAGTTAGATTCAAAGGATGGTCATATCGTGGTGTGAGTACCCAGTGTTAGCAGCGCTGAGCAGCTTGACGATCACGGACTTGGCCTTTCCCTACATGAAGGACGTGAACTTCACCGGAAGGCGGCAACTTCACACCCATACCTTCGCCATGGTGGTGTTGGTGAGCGAAATGAGCCAACGGTTCTGGCATATAATGAATACCTTTGATTGGCTATAAGTTTCCTGAAGTGGGCTATATGATAGGCCAAATATTTCCGTATGAAACGCATCTTTGAACTGTGATTGGCTAAAATTAATCCAGTGTTTGGTGATGTGATTGGCGGATTCAAGTGAAATAGGTCTCTTCCCACGAGGTACTACTGGTACAGTACATGCTTCAGCGGCGGCACAGTAAAGTAGGAATGAGATGCATACCACTGCCACCAATGATTGACAATGTTGGATCGAGCCAGCCGTGCAAACCTAAAGAACTGAAGCGAGGAAGTTGCGAGAAACAAATGGCTTCGTCGTGGAGACTGACTCGGTGGTTTCAAATTGTTTCGTTAACCGCTGTGGTCCACCAAACCAAATAAGTCGGCCATCGAAACTGGATAAAATCGAGCCAGGGAGCGAAACTCACGTTACGGTACTGTATTGTTGCCGCCATTTCTTGATTTCATTTCACATGGATAGTACAAGTACTACCTCAACAACCCTTCTTCACTGACATGAATGCAATCTTACCAGCGTTGCAGGCATCTCCGACCGGTCCCAGCATACGTACGTCTATTTCCATATGCTACGACTGCATAACCTCGTTCCTGACGACGGAAGGTCGCTAAGGGAGAGCCGCAGGGAGGTTCATGTGGAGTGAGGGTTCCGTAACACTTGGTTCGCGTTGTATATTGCATCATTCTCTGTCGGCCTATCTCAACCAAATATCTCAAAATGTCTAAACCCATCAAGCAGTACAGTGTAGATTCGCCCAATCTGAAATCCCAGTGACCAGACTGTTACATTACTGTTATATACCAGACTGTTATATAATACTGTAACTAAGCAAACTTCATCGTTAAGAATTTGTTATAATTATCATAACCATTGCTAGGGAGTATTCTGTAACAATCTCTCAACAATGGTGGTTTCAGTTCAGTGTGGTTGTAAAATCCTGGTCGTGTCAGTTCGCGCGATGTTTTCACTTAACCAATGATATCGTTGCATCTCGAGTTGCATCCAATCATATGTCGTGAAATTCAATTGATTTGAGCCAATGGCCTCGTTGACGTAAGTGGTCAGCAAGTACACCTGAACCGCAACTGGCCTGACCCGACTTGAGCGCTGATGCGACCGGTACCCCAACCCACTTTCGATTCTCTACCACCAGGATGCTAATGATGCCACCGTGGCCCGTCTTCCGCACGTGTTCGCCCCGACTGTCCAACCGTATCCACGAGTCGTCGTCGCACTGCAAGGACAAGGATAAGCTCGACAGCACCGTCATCCTCTGTCACAGCAACGACGGGGTGTGCTGCGACGACTTGTTCGCTGCGGTGCTTGCAGGAAACGCAGATAGCATCACACTCATCGTCGACCAACAGGGTTGCGACGTGAACCGTATGTTCTCATGTCGTCCCGGCGACCTCTGCATGTCCCTTAACTGCGTCCGACGGTCCAAGGTGCGTACCAACACGACTGTGCAGCGTAAGTCCTCCCTTCCAACCGACGCCCAGCCCACGTGCGGGTACTCCCTCCTTCAGCTCGCAATCCAAGCGGGCCTCCTCGCGTCTGTTGACGCTTTGCTCGATGCAGGCGCGAACCCTGCCCTCCACCCCGAAACCAGTCCCAGCTGCCTCTGCCTGGCCCTTGCCCACACCGACGACATGTTTCACCGTGTGCTGAGGCATCTCAAGAGCGTCGACGACGACGCCGTCGAAGCTATCAGCGCCGCCGGTTCGTTGCCTCGTTTCTCCGCCCTGTCGAACCGTCTATCAAGTGCCCAGCGCATCAAGGCGCTGGCCGTTGCCGCCTCGCATGAGCACCTGCATCTCGTCCAGCACCTAATGGACACAGGGGACGACGTGGTGATCCAGCGCGGACTGCACGCGATGGTCCAGCAGGGCTGCCTGGCGCTCGTCCGTCACGTCGTCAAGTGCTACGGACCGTCCGTGGTGCTCTACTGCGAACCTAACAAGCTCGGCGACAGTCTCCTGCACACCGCGTGTCGAGCCAAGCAGCCCGAGATCATCAAGTATCTCATCCGGTGCGGCGTCGACGTGAACGCGCCCAACGCCATCGGTGTGTCCGCGCTGTACATGTGCAGTGCCCTCGGATCGGACGTGGCTGTGCACATGCTCATCAAAGCCGGCGCGCAGCCGCGGGGGGCGATGGGCCCACACGGGGACACGGCGCTCCACGTAGCTGTGCAGGAGAACCACCTGCAGACCGTCCGGCTCTTGATCCACAGCGGGGCCCCGCTGGACGCACAGAACGAGCAGGGCAACACCCCTCTCCACGTCGCATGCATGCAAGGCCATGCCGCCATCGCCGCGTACGTCGTCCGCAAAGGCGCCGATCTGCACCGGACCAACTCGAACGGAGAAACGCCGCTGGTGAAGGCCTGTCAGATGAGCCATCGGCGCGTGGTGGAGCTTCTGGCCAGTCATGGCGACAAGGTCAAAGGTCTGGCGTACTACGACGTGATGAAAGGCGGTCGCCACAAGATCACCAAACCCACCAAGCCAGATCGCGACTGGTGTTAATCATCTTAACTTATATTAACTTATTGCGACTTCCACTGGAAGGAGTCGACTACTTAACGTTAACACTGGTCCTTGTGCGATAACAATGGTAATGTTGTGGGTAGTTACGTTCTACTAAATTGCACTCCATTCCTTTAGGAGGTCGAACGCACCGAGTCGCATGCCCTCGAAGATGTGTCGAGTATGATAAATATATCTATACCCCATGTAGAGTTTATATTTCTTTCCGTGTTTATGCATGTGTAGACTCGTGGACAAGTGAGACGCAGCACGGGTTTGCCTCTACTATTATAGTAATGGTACAGTAGTGACGATCGTCAAACGATGATAGTACTGTTGTACTCTTTCAATAATAATAATAATAATGCCACACCGTCCATTATCTTTCATCTGTTATATCCATCATAACAAAAGACTGGAAACACGAGTAGTATTGTGCTTTTCACATATTTTGCCCGTTGTTTTAGCTCCTAAAACCATCCAAAGTGTAACCTAAACTGAAGTTGCACTCGACGTAAAAGTAAGCTTCCCCACCGTTCTGTCATTGGCTGATCTAAAACTTGCGTTGTTTTACTAAAACTACTTCGTTTTATTAACTCCCGTGGCCAAGCAGTCATGCAGAGTAATGACCTACTGGGGTAAGCTCGC